AGTATCCTAATTTAAAATTGAAAAATTGTAAAAGAATCATATTTTATTTTATAATTTTTTTTGACATCTTCTATTAATGTCTTTAAGTTAATAACTTACAACTAATACCAGACTGGTTTCCTAATTTGAAATTGGAAAATTGTAAAAAAATCTTATTTTATCTTATAAATTTTTTTAACAACTTCTATTAATGTCTTTAAGTCAAACAACTAATACAAAACCGGTCTCTTAAATTAAAATTGAAAAACTATTTTATTTTATTTTACTGTAACAACACTCAAATTTTAAACTCGAATTAGTGAAATGAATGAGACCTTTATGATTTTTTTAGCAACTTTCATATTGCTTACTCTTCTTCCTCCTCAATCTGACTCTTCTTTCTCTTTCTTCGTTATTTCTTCTTTCTCCTCACTTCTTGACATCTCTGCAACTACGTTCGCCTAAAAAGATCAAAAAAGAGAGAAAATAAAAGAGTGAGGTTTTTTTAAAAGAAAACAACTGATTTAATGCCCACAACTCTTTAAGAAAATCAATTTCCATGTGCCAGAGAGAAAGAGAAAAAAAAAATCTGCCCACGAAAGATGACATCAAGTCCGTAGAAGATGACATGCTCACCATTGGATGAATTTTTTCATATTTAATTGAAACCTATTAGATGCTATGCAAAGAGTAAATTGTTCATGTTTGTCATGTTTATTTTTGGTTGTCCTACTAGTTATATAGCTAAATCTATGCATATATATAAACTTTTCTTGTGTCATGACCTTAATAACAATTGTTCTTAATTATTTACCTAAATTTTATACAATGTTATTCATATCTTAATGCATATTCAAATTATCATGATCGTTGCTCAAATAGAACAACCAATTCACGAGCTGGTATAGCCATAGCCCCAAGAGAGTTAAAATTAAGTGACCCTCTCAAGTGTCTTAAATGGATCTATTTAGTGCCTAATTTACATCGTTTCTCCTATTTCTCCACTTCCGGATTCAAGTATAGAAATTTCATTCGATTAATTTTTTTTTTGGCAACTTCCATTAATGTTTTTAAGTCAATGGCTTACCATTAATACAAGGCCGGTCCCCTAATTTAAAATTGAGAAACTGTAAAAGAATCATATTTTATTTTATAATTTTTTTTGGCAACTTCCATCAATGTCTTTAAGTCAATGACTTACAATTAATATAAGGCCGGTCTCTTAATTTAAAATTAGAAAACTGTAAAAGAATCATATTTTATTTTATAATTTTTTTTGATATCTTCTATTAATGTCTTTAAGTTAATAACTTACAACTAATTCAAGACATGTTTCCCAATTTGAAATTGGAAAATTGTAAAAGAATCTTATTTTATTTTATAATTTTTTTTAACAACTTCTATTAAGTCAAACAACTAATACAAAACCGGTCTCTTAAATTAAAATTGAAAAACTATAAAAAAATCCTATTTTATTTTATAATTTGTTTTAACAACTTCCAATCAATGCTTACAATTAATACAAAGTCACTCCTAATTTAAAATTGAGAAACTCTGAGTGAGAGTCTCCTTGCTTCTAGTTAACTCTGATTCTGGTGAGCGTTATTCTTATTTTAATTGTTGATAACTCTGTTTCCTCGTGGATTTTCCTTTTTTTCTATTTTGTTTCATTTTTTTTTTGTTTGAGCGTTTTTTTGGTGCTGCGGCATGTTTGATTGGCGAGAAACAAACAAAAGTATACAATGCAGAGTTGACTTTTTTGATTGTGTGTGTCAATTTTCTTTTTAACTTTTATAATTTTTTTCCCCTGTTTCTAAAGTAACTATTATATAACATAGAAGGTGAAATTCTAAAGTAAACATTGGTTTTGAATTTGATTTTATGTTTTAGTCAGAATTATCCATGAAAGATGACATTAAGCCCGTGGAAGATGACATGCTCATCATTAGATGAATTTTCTCATGTTTAATTGAAACCTATTGGGTGCTCTACAAAGAGTAAATTGTTCATGTTTGTTTTGTTTATTTTTGATTGTCCTACTAGTTATATAGCAAAATCTCTGCATATATATAAACTTTTCTTGTGTCATGACCTTAATAACAATTGCTCTTAATTACTTACCTAAATTTTATACAATGTTATTCATATCTTGATGCATATTCAAATTATCAGGATCGTTGCTCAAATAGAACAACCAATTCACGAGCTGGTATGGCCATAGCCCTAAGAGATTTGAAATTAAATGACTCTCTCAAGTGTCTTAAATGGATTTATTTAGTGCCTAATTTACATCGTTTCTTCTATTTCTCCACTACCGAATTCAGGTATAGAAATTTCGCTCGATTAATTTTATTTATTTGTTAAAGCAGTTTGATTTGGTTGTGTGATTTTGTAATCTTATTTCTTTGTTTCTTGTATCTTTTAGGATGGATCTCGCATCCGTCCAATAAACTTTTGTAAAGATTTCATTTGTTTAATGACATTTTCGTTTCCTGTTAAAAAAAAAAAAAGCAGTTTGATTAGTATATTAAATCATGATCTTAAGAAAGAATTTCCCCAAAAAAGCAATGTGTTTGGGATTTTAGCGTGCATATATCTAATTCCAAGTCTAATTTCCTCTGTAATTTTATGAATGAAAAATTCTTATATGAGGTTGGTTAATATGGCAGATCTAGATTGTATAAAGGAAGGAACCAAACAACGTTTATACCAAGAGTTCGCCATGACATGTGTTCTATTTTTCTTAACTTATCCAAACCGAGTTCATACAATTCTTTTGTAAGTGTAACTATTAATCCATATGCGTGTGAATCATACTAATAGAATATCCCTTTGTTTAGCGATGCATGTATTGTTAATCAGATATATTATTTTTGAAACATGATCTTGTTCTTCTTTCAATATAATATATATGATCCTGATTAAATGTAAAATTTGATTTTCTTTGGTTTGCATTTTACTTTAATTTAAGGTGAAGTCTCGTGCTGGCCCAAAAATTTGTATAAAGATGCAAAGATAATTTGGAGGGTTTCTTGAGCTCTGAGCTTCCTTCTCATCCAAATCTAACCCGTGGACAGTTAGAAAACGGGTTGCGTTATTGTATTTTACCACACAAAAGGCTTTCCAACAGGTAAATTGTCTTTCCTTCTTCAGGGAAATCTAAAATCTCTTTTAATTCTTTCACCACTAAGGATGATAATATTATTCTCCGAACATTCTTTCCAGAAGGCCAAGATTTGAGCAGCCGTTCTTATTCTCAACCTTTGTGAAACCCTTAGATTCTTATTTGATTTTAATGTTGGGGATGCACAATGTAATATAATCCCACTTAGTTTTCATAAAAGAAACTTTTCTTAATTTACCAATCTATTCAAAAAGTTTAACGTATTAGGAGGTGGGCCGACATTAGTTTATATTTCAATTCACGTGTCGGCTAGATAATGGATAATTGTATGGGTATATTAATTGGAAAGTCTAACATGTGAATAGTATATAATAAGCCCGACACATAAAGATCCAACTCGTGATGACAACTAAGCAGTGCAATTACAAGGATTTGAACTCATGACCTAAAACATGTTAGTTTACGAGTCCATCCCAAAAGTTGTGCGGCAATAATATATTTTTATATTTCAACAACTTTATTTATATGTATTATTTTTGCATGGACTTGTATATGGAATGAGATATATTACAATATTCTTTTTATATTAATTGTAGGTTTGAAGCACACCTGGAAGTTCATGTGGGATCCATGCATGAAGAGGAAGATGAACAAGGCATTGCACATATGACTGAACATGTAATTGAGAGTGAAAAATTTTCTGAACTTTTTTATGTAGGAGCTACGTATGGAGCATACACTTACTTCTATGGGACAGTTTATCACATCAATTCACAAGTCACATTTGAGGTTGTTTAGTTATTGATCTCTCAACTTTTCACTCTATTATTGTTAGATTTTATTAGCTTGGAATTTTGAGTTGATACGATGAAGAACTCTCTATTTATACAATTTATATATTAATAAATAGTGTTGCACTCTAATAATTTTTATTTTGGACCTAATTTTGTGTTTATTTTAGCATTTTGGTCTTCTTCCCCACGTACTAGATTCTTTAAATGAGGTATGTGCCTCATTGTGGAAGTTATAATGTTCTTGATGCTTACTATTCTTTTCGTATGTACGTTAGTTAATTAATTGTCTTTTTTATGATAAAGATGCAAAAGTAGAATATTGAATTAATTTAGTGCCCGTTTGGTATAAGGATTGAAATTAAGGTGATTTGAGTCTTTGGATTCAGAATCATGATTCATGATTTGAATCATGATTCATGATTTGAATCATGATTCATGATGATTCCAACTTTTGTTTGGATGTGTGCATGATTTTGATTCTAACCTGAATCATGATTTGAATTAGTGTTTGGTTGTGTTATTTTTCGATTTTGAATCATGTGAATAATAATAACCATCTTTGGGCATGTAGATACGTTAGGTGGAAATTTGTTCCTATTGGTTGCATATGATGTCAATAAGGAAACATGTATTACCATTGTAATACAAACTCAAGTACAAATCGTCAAAGTACAATGCGTGAGGCAAATGCGATTATAATTTTTGTTCGTAATCCTGTACATTTCTCTCTTGTATCTGAATATAAACATTACAAAAAATACAGACACATATGAAAATTATGCCTAGAAAACCAAGCATTACGCCTAACATCAAGGGGTAATCTTTTTTGTCAAGTAGGCCATAAAATTTGACTTCCTATTAATGCATTTGGATGTTGTGCCCGTTTAGGCTTCATGATATCCCTTTCTCCTTTATCATTTACCACCATTTGGGCATGGAAACCATCTGGAAATTGTTAACCAGGCGTTTCCTCCTTCAATTGCATTCCATCTGAAAATGAGTTCAAATATTGTCTAGAGTCTCTCTCTCTCTCTGTATTATTGAAACACAATCTCACCTATACTTTGTTACCAAGCAATGAAGAAACACTGCCATTTGCACCTTTGTAAACTCAGCCTTCCAACATAGAACCTCATGCCACCGCCAAAAGTCATGAAATGGCTTGTAGCACCATTTAATTGCTTGTCATAAATGGCTTACCTCCCGTCTCCAAGGATTGAAGGGCAGTGGATCTTCATACGAAAATGGGTTCAAATGCACAACTAGTGGACAGACCATAACAGCCCAACATGCTGTAATGGTATATCCTGTATCTGAACCAAATATGTAGCTTGTTCTCGGCAATACTTTCTTCCATAACCATAGTGATTCAAATATAAAAATACACAGCGAGCAATAAACTCATTTCTGGAAATAGCCTTGCAAAGTAGTATTTCCTGGAAATCAAAAATTACAAATCCACATTATTAAGAACGGATTCATCATGCATTCCCCAAAACCAAAGTCCAACTACACTCAAACAAAGAAAGAACGTGACAAAACAAGAGGAGTCCAATGCGTGCAAAAACAAAGCACAAGCTTCAAACTATAAAGAAGTGAAACCGACACAAAATACACAAACAGCAACATGAAAGAGAAGTGACCGACCATTTAAAAGGAAAAAACAGTCCACACACCACCGTACGACACATGAGGAAAAAACCATCTAATACTAAACAACACTCGAGAAGATTAAAAGGAAAATAAAAAACTTGAAAATGAATATTCACATGAGTTGAACACTCGGCAAGACTATAAAAAACATAGTCACTGTTTCCTGCAGCAAAATAGTCCATCACGGAAGCATAAATTAAAAAAAAAAAGAAAAAAAAAAGCCAGGCAGGGATAAGAATTGGAACACAAGTTAAAGACCAAAGAATGCGTTGTATAAATATGTTTGAATTCTGATAATCATTGTGAACGTGAATATGTCAAAATCGGGAAAAAAAAATGAACCAACGAAAAAAAAAGAAAAAGAAAAAATGGTAACAATGTAAAGAGCCATCTGTGTGTCCCTCTTGGTTTTTTGGTAGACCCTTTACACTTCCTACACTCGGCAATGGCATAAGGCAATGGCATGCAGAAGCAAAGCAAAAGAGCAAGAGAAATCACACTTCACAATCAACCCACAACGACTATTCTTCTACCACTAATACTGAAATCAGATCGTGGATATTGACTAAAAAGCTTCTGAATATCCATCAACATAAGCGGCAAACTTAAAACGGAGGAAGCAAAATCCTCTCGTGGCACACAACAAAGTATTCGGCCATAAATCAATCCACTCCCTGATATATACAAACCCCAGAAACACAAAAAATAACGAAAAGCAGGCTGTTGGAAAAACATGAACCAGAGAAAAACCACACATGTTGCCCTGCGAAAATCTCCTATTCCAGATAATGATATTTACGTAGAAATCTGAGAATAAAAGTGAGGATGAATTACCTGATTCGAGTCCAACGAGGAGATGGAAGACACCGCCGGCAGAGCTCCAAAGACAGATATAGTGCTTTTGTAAACAGCCCGTCTGTTTCCTCTCCGGTGAAGCCGATAAATGGCCTTACCTTCGTAGTATCGCCGAAATTGGTACCGAATCTGGAGCTTCCGTCGAATGTTCGGCTTCACTCGAGCACTTGAAGCATTTCTCATGAACACAAGAAGAGGGGTCCGCCGTGGGTTGGGATGTGAATGCCAAGGACTCCGCAGGGAAGAGGAGTGAACAACGGAAGAAAAGAGAGGAGAAAAATCAAAAAGCTGGGATCTCTGCAAACTGCCTCGCGTGAAGTAACAGTGAAAGCTGGGGAGATTCTCTGCCCAAGGGAAAATTTTCGGTGGGAGTGCGTAGGGGTGGGTGGGGGTCATTACTCGGGAGGGGAAAAACCATTACTCGGGGGAGGTGGGAGCACTGTGCTCTGATTTGAGAACGGGCTGAATCAGGCCCCCCCTGATTCTGAAATCCGGATCAAACTGATCTCAAACGTGGATTTTGGGCATCCCTTCTGATTCTGGATCAGGCCATAGATTTTGAGCCACCAAACGTGGATTCTCCCACGTGACCCAGAATCCTGAGTCAGGATACAGCTTCCAAACGAAGCCTTATTCTTGATACAGCAAGCTTTCAAGCCAAAGATACGAACGAGCTTCTTGTCTTGAAAGGAAACGAAATGTCGTGCTTTCAGAATTACAGATGTGGAATACAATAGATTTTCGTATTGAAGGCAAGGTGTGGGGCACAATATCAATTGATTTTTTTTTTGTGTGTGTTTTAATTTGTTTATTTTCATTTTTATTCATGATAGACTTTACAATTTGTCAGTTGTGCCAACTTCTGCATTCGGAGAACAAGCTGAATAAAAGGTATAATGTTTTGGGACTGGAGGAACAAATTAAGAATTGGAGTGTTGCTCAAATAAGGAAATTTTATAAGCGTTGGTACTTTCCTGGTAATGCAACCTTATATATTGTCGGGGATATCAACGATGTTTCTAAAACAATTGTTGCAATACAAGTAAGATTGATATACAAGTCTCATAGTAAAATTTGTCGCTTTTTTGTTTTAAGATGCTCGCTAAACTAACATTACCTTCTTATTGCAGTAAGCCTTTGGAAAATCTAAAAGATTTCAGAACAAGAGATCAGTTGAAATATTCAAAAATAAAGGGCATGGTCATCCTATTCGGCCTCTAACACTCCATAATTGGTCACTCGCGCGAAGCAACACAAATGATCGAAAACCTCTGCAAATTTTTCAACACAACCTTATCCACAATTTTTCCTTTTATATCTTCTCTAAGGTTATTGAAATAGTATTATAGGGGCTTTAGGCATCTCTGGTTGACTTTATGTGGAAGTTTCAAAAGAAGGCGAATGGTTGATTTAATTATCACACGACTATCTAAGAAATAATCATTCAGCTGTAAGGCATGCTTTTTTTTTTAAAGAAAAAAAGAAAATATAAAGTACTTTGTAAGTTGATTTGTTGAAAACATTATGAGCTATAATTTGTCATGAAATTGAAAAAAAATAAAGAAGTGACAATTCTTTTCTTTACTTGTTCGTGCTTTTTCAAATTGGAAAAAAATAAAGAAGTGACGATTCTTTTCTTTACTTGTTCGTGCTTTTTCAAATTTGTTTGTGTTGTTTTTTGTTTTTGTTTTTGTTTTTTTGGCTTCCATCTTTTAATGTAACTTTTTGAGAAACTATTGTAGGTTCCAGTGAACAAGTTTCAAACATATGGCGACGTACGAAATTTTGTAATGAAGCAAATATATCTTTTTGCTTTACAATTCCGGATTAATGCAAAATACAAGGTGTGTGCCCTTTAATTTTTAGTTTGATCATTTTTTTTTGTGTGTTCCAAGGAAACTAAATCCTAGATTTTGATGTGAATGTCGAGGTTTTTCTTGTCTTACCTCCCAATATGTATGTAACAGGTTCAAATTCATCCGCAACATTAATTGAATTAAGCCATTTGATAAGTATTGTACTGGATGTGCCCGTGCTCTTCTTGGTACCACAAGCGAGCCTAAGGATTGGAAAACTGCAATAAAAGTAGCTTTCCACGAGGTTTGTACCCTTAATTTCTCAAAAGCAAAATTACTTACTCTTTGTAGCATACGTCATGTACTTAGATACAAATATAAACTCCTTTGACCACTCAACTTTTTTTGTTTGGAAAATTATGAAATTGATACTATTTCTGGTATCACTCTTTCTCCATTTTTCATCTCACCATTCTCTCCTCAGTCACTTTCTTTCATTATTCGCGTTCTCATGGTGATCAGGAACAACAATTAACAATAAGAATAGAAAAAAGAATTAACAAGTCAAAATGAGCAGACTCTGCAATTTCTACTTCATGATTACTAATATTCAAAATTGCTTTTTGAAAACGCCGATGGCTCGCTCAATTGTATTTCCTATATGTTCTTTTTCATAGCAAACTATATTTTTATTTATATGGCAAAAGAAAATGGGTAAATATTTGTTTGTAATGCTAAACGAAATAAACAGAACCATCTTTTCTCTTACACATTGATTGTAACAAGGTAAATTAGCAGCCGCATCAACTTAAAATTAATGCCAATGGACGGAAAGGACTAACTATCCTAACGTCTCGAAGTTTGAAGGGGAAAGTGAAAGATTTAGCAGAGTTGGAGAAGTATTTATTAAATTTATCCATTTTCAAATTGCATACAGGTTCAGAGGCTAAAAGAGTTGGGGATTAGTTATGATGAGTTTACTCTTCATAAGGATGTAATTTTGAATGATAGTGCAAATTTTATAGCCGTGCTTGATGACGATTCATCTTCTGATATCATTAAGTTAATCATGCGTAATGATGCACTTGGCCGTGCTACAATGGAGGTAAGGGAAGCACATAAAGTTTTAGCAGCTGTTGCTACAACAATTACGCTTGACGAGGTAATTAGCTAATAAATATGTAGGGATGTTACCATATGCAAATTTTTTATTTTTGGTTTGCCTTGGGTTTTTAAATTGTTGATCTTTCAGGGTAGGTTTCATTCTTTCAGTTTTAAGCTAATTTATATTTTATTGTTCACTATTTATATGTGGTGGTAGGTAAATTCTATTGGTGCTGAATTATTAGAATTGGTTTCGGATTTTGGAAAGCCGAGTGCACCCGTTCCCACAATAATTATGGCATGTGCTCCAACTACTCATGAGGTGAAGGGAGAGCTTGTCGGGTTCACCGTAAATCCTAGTGAAATTGAATTTGCTATGAAACAAGGATTGGACGACATCATTTATGCTGAACCTTAGGTGGTGGTCCTTTCTTTTCTTAAAATATTGTCGAGAAAGATATCAAGAATTTTTAGTTTTCCTATTAAATATTATATTTATTTACTCCCTCACTACATATATAGATATAATTATTGGTAGATGATCCGTACTTGTAGATTGAGACGCCAACAGAGTTGATATCTCAATCACAGTTACAAGAATTATGGTTAGAGCGCCAACCGTCTTTCGTTCCCCTAACAAATTCAAACCAAGATGTGAAGAAACTTCATGATAAGAGAACCAATATCATTCATCGTCGTCTTTCAAATGGAATATCTATCATTTATAAGGTAATGTAAACCAACTGTATATATATATATGTATGTATGCGCTCATTTACTCTTAATTACATATATCTCAAGATTGAATATTATATGCTAATTATGTGTAAGTAGATGTCAAAAAATGAAGGCCATGAAAGTGTAATACGAGTTATAATAGGTGCTGGAAGAGCACATGAAAGTTCAGATTTAAAAGGAGCTATTGCGTTGGGTGTCCAAACTCTTTGTGAGGGAGGTTGTGTTGGCAACTTTTCCAATGAGCAGGTAATTATATAATGTAGTTGTGTAATACACACGATATTTACATATTTCAAAATTTAAGATTTGTTGAGGGTTTGGTAATTTGCACAAGATTTAAGCAAAATATTTTGTCTAGGTAAAACTTTTTTGTTTGAAAAATATGATTGATTATTCGTTGGAGTGCACCGAGGAATTTATCACTGTGGAGGTGAGCTTTACATCAAGAGATAATGGGATGCAAGCAGCTTTCCAATTGCTTCATATGTTGCTCGAGGTAATCCTAATATATGTAATCCATGATCACATTTTTTTCCTTAAAAAAATTTGTTGTGCAGTTTGTATGTATAGTGAATCGCAGTGCTAACTAAGGAAAAATATGTCGATATTTATAGAAATATCGCTATAGTAATTTTATAGAAATATCGATATCAGAAAAAAAGATTTGGCAATTTTACCTGTTAATCCATTTATGTGGGGATTCGCATTAAAAAGGGTGGAAAAAAATCCACTTTAATTAAATCCACATTGTAAACGGGTTAGAAATTTTAACTCGTCACCAATCGCGGGGCGGGGACGGATTTAGAGGTCCCCAACCCTTTTTCTTGTTTATCCGCTCTGTTTAATTATACCCAATTTTGAAATTAGATATATTATGTATTATATCCTATAATGTAGACTGAAATTTTTAAACTGAAACAAAAACTTGTCAACTTCATTTTTTTGCGTCTTTAACCTCTTAAAATTAACATGCAAAGCTTAAATCTTGTTTTAAACACACAAAACAACCTTAGACCATAAAATACAAATTCAAAAACATAGATTTAACATTAAAACTTCTTTCATGTGAAGATTTAACTTTTTAACATACATAAAAAATAGAAACACAAACTTTGTAACCAAACTAAACTTTGTTCTTATAGTTGAAATGATCAAGATAAGTTTTAAAGAATCTTACCACAAATCTTAGGAGAGGAATGGTTTTGATCACCAAAGTGAGAAATTTCTACAAAGATTTAGGCCCCGTTCATTTTAAGTAAAAAGCTCTCAGACACAGTCACATCTAACTTTTTTACTACAGTAAAAAGTTCTCACATAAAGTCACATCTTAACTCGAATTAAAAGCTCAAATTAACGAACTAAACGGACCCTTAAACTTTTAAGGAAAAGTTGAAACTTTGAACAAAGAAAATCAAAGGAGAAAAATTTTGTTCTATACCCTTGAAAGTGCAAGGTAATTCCCACACAAATTCCTTCTCCTTCTTTTAGATTGTGGTTTGAAGTCTCCCTTGTGTGAGAGAAGTGGAAATGTTTTGAGAGAGAGAACATCAGGGGTTTGGCCAAACAAGGGGAAAAAAGAGAGAGAGTGAAAAAAAAAACAGTAAAAGTGAGTTTAATTCTAAGTGGTGGTATATATAGACAAATGACTAAGCTAACTTATCACTAATTAAGGCCTTCTTAATCATGCTCTATGGACTAGAATTTGATTAAAAAAATGTTTAGTGTGGCCGGTCATACTTAGTGAGAAGAGAG